ATGCTAATGCTCTGCGAGGGGGTGCGTGGTGTAGATGTTAAGGTTGGGGATAAGAATGGGGTTAGCCAGAGGTACTGGCTGCCAGGTTGCTTATGATTTGCCTTGGCTTATTTTGAGCGCCCGCGCGCACATCGCGTTATTTACATACCTTAAGTAGTTGTAATGGGCTGCTGGTGTGGCTGCTGTTTTTAGCCCCAGCACGACAAAGTGTTGGCGATGAAGGCAGCTGGCAGTGTCCTTGGCTGAAAGACGAATATGCGAGTTGTCTAACAGGCAAGAGTGGCCATTGAATATGTGAATGTGACTGTGAACGAGATGAGCTAGTTTTCATTATAACCACATTTGGTCTTGGCTTACTTTCGGGTATCTCATGGCTTGCATTTAATTCGCAGCTTACGGCTTACTTGGATCACAGAAAGTACTACTTATTTCTACATGCGTGCTTGGCTTTGCTTTATTCATAGGAGACTGCTAGTGGAATTTGCAGATGCTTCAACTGAAAATAAAGCACAAGTGACTTTTGTTTATTATGACAGCGTACAGTTGACATATGCAGACCATTTCTGAATCTGGCCAATTATTATTGCATTCAATTGCAGAAACTGCAATTTTATTTAGACACAATTTCTCAAAGAAAAACAGGCAGTTAAAGGAAATAATAAATAACTACAGGTGTCAAAAGAATAAGAAAGTAAGTTTGATCTTCCTGCTTTATTTCCTATTTATTTCAGTTAATTTTTTTTTTACCAAACCCTATTCTCATTTCTAATATAAAAAGGTTAACTTAAGCACATTAGCTTTCAGATACTGGCAAGTCAATGGCCCCATCAAAACTATAGTTACTTCGGTTCTGATGCCGTCAAATGGGGCCCGCGTCTATTGTATGCGGCTTGTACGAAATTTGTTAGTGAATTTGTTCAATTTTATGCAAAATATGATTATAAAATATTCAACAAAGCAGCTGTTGCCCTGCCTTGCGCCAACTTTGCGCTGATATTAAACTGAAATTAATCTTCATCAAAAGTTGAGCGGCGCTTTAATTAGTTTGGCCAATCGAGGAGCTCTAACTTTATCTTTGCCTTGCATATTATTGACGCTAACTCATTTAAGATCCAGTTACCGCCGTTTTGTGTAGAAAACGGATGGTTCTTAAAATTATACTGAACAATATGTCAAGCAATCAGAGCTATGGCTAAAGACTTGAGAGGCATTCGACTGAGAATGGTTTTGTATCTATTTTTTAAATATATTTCAAGTATTCAAAAGTAAAGCTACTTAGTTTCACAAAAGTCTTGTACATTTAGCCAGAAGTAAAAAAAAAAAACATTTCTATGGCTGGGCATATGCCACAGTCGAGTTAAATATGAAGAGAAAACAAATCAAATCAAATGCAGACTTCGTCGAGTGGCAGTCAGGAGCGGCAGTAGGAAAATTTTTCGGCAAACTACAACAACACAAATAACAAAAGCAAATTAATAGAAAACAATAACAATTCCCTTTATTATTATTACTGCAGTGAGACTGGGAAAACAGGCAACAAAAAAAAAAAAAAAAAAACCAGAACACAAAACAGGACTCACAGATTCTAACAGTTTCCAAGTGCCTAAGTTTTTGTGCTTTATTTTATTTTACTCTGTCTGGCAGTGTGTGTGTGTGTGAGTGAGTGTGCGAGTGAGTATGTGTGGGGGAGTATGTGTGCCTGTGAGTATGTAATTCACACAGCAAAATGCAAGTAAAATACAAAATTCTTCTTCTCCATTGCGATGGCCTTGCCTAAAAGTCTGCCACACTTCGACGCCTTCTCATGGGACTTTTTTAGGCAGATGCTTGTCCTGCCAAATGCTCAAACATACGAGCATCTTTTCATACACTTGCTGAGAGAGTTTTATAATTTTATCACTAAATATGCGCCTTAAAGGAGGCTTGATCAACAGTCGAGTACTTGTAAGCATTTTGGCTCTCTAGCAAATTAACCAGTGGACTTTTTGCTCAGATATTCGGCACAAGGGTATTTCAGTTTCGGCACCTCGCAGAAAACTCTTCACACTTGTTGTTTTTTTGTATAAACTTGCCACAAACAACGAATCGCTCAAAGTGCGAACAAAGTGTGTACAGAAGCTCAAGAAATCAGGCCAAAAAATAAAAATAAGATAAGAGCAAGAAACAAGCGCATTGAATGCGTCTATCACAACCAAACTTTATCCAGGTGTAAGTCCGGTTGGGGGTGGGGTCTGTGGTGTGCGTGGTGTGCGTTGTACCGGGTACGTGCATTGCATGTCGAATGTTTGGTAAAAACAGCCAGCAGCAGCAACAGCAACAGCAGCAACTTTATCTAAAGTACAACTTTTGGCTCACACGCCTCAGCCGAGCACCGAAGCGGTTTCCTGTTTTTTGCCTGATTTGTTGGCACGCCCCATTGGGCGCGCAGGGCTTTGCTGTCGGTAAATTTGTGTTGTTTTGGCAACGTTTTTTTTTTACCCGCTTTAAACTGAAAATGAAACTGTTGTTGTTTATTTTAAGTTCGTTGTAGTTTCTTTGGCTGCTCGACGCTTTCCTCCCCCACCCTCTTACATTTGCAACATGTGCCAATGATTTTTAATGCGATTTAAGAATATCACAAAAAACAGCCATTGCAGGTTGATTTCAGTGCTTTTTTCTCTTTATTCTTTTTTGTTTCCCTGCCGAGAGGCTTAAGTCTGGCAGCACAACCTTTTTTTAAGTGGCCGGCCAATGAAAATGTTTTCAAAGGTGAAACCGAGTAACATAATGTTTTGTAATGCCTTCTGATAGTGTCTCTGTGTGGGTGGGCGGTTGTGTGTTTCTGTGCGTGTGACTTTATTTAATACCATTAACGCAAATTGAATGTTATACGCAGTTAAGCCCTTTGAGCCATTGCATGCGTAATTGAGTTTTCGGATGTGCCGAGTAATGCCGCCTCCCGAGCACATTGCCCAGACTTATAGCCCTGAACATTTTCGCATTACTGCTTCAGCGAGCCAAACAAGTAAGTGGCCCAAAAGATTAAATCGATATTATAAATTACATAAATTAAGCAAAACGAATATATTCTAGAATGTACGTTTTTAAAATGCTAAAGTGTAATAGGTTGGAAAAATAAAAGGGTATATAGAACCTGGCTTTAATAATCATTAATATATATATATATATATATCCTTATTAGGTTGAAGATCCAGCAATAATGTGATAAGATTTGCAAATATATATGGAAAGTAGAGAATAACTAACCGACTAACCGACAGACCAACGGACGGACGGGCAAGGCTATATCAACTTGACTGTTGATTATGATCTAGAATATATATTCTTTATGGGGTCGGAGATGTCTTTTTCTATGCGTAACACATTTTATGCCAAATTTATAATATCCTCTATATGGTTAAAAAACAGATAAATGGTTCGGCTTACTCCCTGCCACATCCAAAACATTCGCTTCTATATAAATCATAATTTTAATGAAACTCTTAAAATTATAGTTTTTAAATGCCTGTTAAAATAACACACTAAATTTAATATCTACTCAAATATATTTTGATGAGTGCACTGAGGGCTCAGAGCTATTAATGCCATTGGGCTGAGTCATTCTCATAAATTGTGAGCAAAAATATGATGCTGTTCGAGTTTGGCTTGATTTTAGTTTCGGTTCATAATAAAAATTGAAATTCCGCAGCAGCCTGGCAAAGCATACTTTTGAGTGCAAACCCAATTTGGCAGAGTATTTTGATTGAAATTTGCAAATGTTTCATTCTTATGAAAAGTGCATTTAACTCTTTATATCATCAGCCGTTTATTCATTTGGCTTCTTGCTGCATCTGGCTGCGCCACTAACAGTTTCATCAACGATCCAATAACTGCTAAGCAAACTCGTAAATTCCATGGAACCTCCATCGCACCAGCCAGTATTTCGAGCAACTTCTTGGCCTGGCCCAGTGGCATTGCTTTTTCATTTCCAGAGTGCAGCGGAAGCAGAAGGGGGAGCAGCAGCAGGACGAACGGCAACGGGTAAATGTTTAGCATAAGCTCGTTTGCTGGCCTATTTCAATAATAATAAAAGCAAAATACTCGTGCTTGTGCAGCAATTGTGAAATATTGCTCATGAATGCCGCGCTTACATAAATATTTAAGTTGAAGCATTGGCACGAAAAGCATTTGGCCAAGACTTTCTTTCTCTCTAATAGAAGACGAGCGATGGAAAATAAAAGCCCTGCCAGCTGGCAGAGGCCATGATGAAAGTCTCCATTTAAGCCATCTTCTCTGCATATTGCATAGACGAGTAGCTCGCGCAACTAACAGCTGTCGAATGAGTGCGTGAGTGAGTGGGTGAGTGGGCGAGTGAATGATGTGAGTGTGTGCCCCAGTCCTTGGGCCAGAATAGCGTTTCTCAATATATATGCCAGCTATAACTTCAGACTGTTAAGACTTTAAATGAGTACAAGTTTGCGCACACGCACAGTATCTACACCTCTGCAACGCAGTCTTTAGTATACTTTCACGACAGCTTGTCATTTGTTGTTTACTTGTTTTCATGTTTTATTTTCCATTTTTCCTCTGCCCTGTTTTTTTTCTTGCGCTGTGCTGCTCGTCTTGCCGCTGATACAGTTGGAAAATAGAGCTATAAGCCGAGTATCTATCTTGCATCTTGTTGCTGTCATTTCAGGCTAATGTCTTCGCTCCAGTTTCCTTTTTCGTGTTCAATGTCTGGCTCTTGTCATGCCTCTGCCCATCTCACAGCTCACTCGCTTTTCCCCGCTTTCGCATTTCTCGAGTATCTAGCCGTTCTTCATGCATGTCAGCATCGTTCAAGCCTGCTTAATGTGGCATTCTTTTAACCAAGTTTCCTTTGCTGACAGCATGCAGCAAAACTATTTCTTAGATACGAGTATTTCCTCTAGCTTTTATACAAATCAAAGTCTTAACACTAATTGAATTTGTATATGAATTTGATATAGAAGATAATAATGTTTCTTCTCCTTTACTTTCAGCTCTTGTTGATTCAAAGTACAACAGAATTTAAGAGGTATGCATGAAATATTTTAAATATTACAACAAATTTAGTTCAAAAGCATTTCAACTGAAATAACGTTAATACAAATTCTTACAACAAATATTAAAACCTTTTATGTATTTAAAATACATTTCATATTCACTTTACCATTGAAGTCAATTAAAGCACTCAATGGCCCGAACATATAAGATTTGAATAGATATTCAATTTGTAGCCAAAGTATGAAGATAAATAAATTATGAAAAATGTTATGTAACAATATGAATGCATTCACATAGAACATTTAATTTATTATGCCCTTTGATAGCGGGGCCTAGTACATGACTAAGATTATTATAGGTGCAGTTATCTATGGCTAAGCGTAGACAAAGCTTAATTTATATCCGCTTTCTGGGAGCAATGTAACATTTTCATACACATCTCTCCATACAAAGAGTAGCTAATTTTCACGCCTATTCGTAGCATACTTAATACCAGGAATTGCCAAGCGGCTTTGGAGGGTGGCTCCCTCCCAGCCGGCACAGAGATAAGCGGCTTAGGCTGTTCGCTTGAAGTGCCAACGAGCTGTGACTCATAAATACGATACAGCAACTGGGACCAGCAGTTAGGCTGAATGATGTAGTCTGTGGTTGTGTCACATTCCCAGTTGGCTCTCCCATGTGCCTAAGCCGAAAAATGCCTTACGGAATTCTATCAATAATGAAATTCCTTGGCCAGCGTTCCTTCCTTTGGCTTGGTAGGAACTTTGGGTAGCAGCTGGCAGAGCCGACTCTACCCATTGAAATACACTTAAAATAAACCTGCAGACTGTAGGCTAACTGCAATTAAAAACTCTTAATTGTTTATTAATGCGCACTTCCAGAGAATGGCGTGAAAAAATAAATTAATTTGCTGCTGTTTTAAATATGGCGCAGACGATTTAACATGCCACGCTTGCCTGCAATGGGAATCGCAGTCGCAGTCGCAGTCGGAGTCTGTGTCTGATAAAAATAAACCCCTCCGTTGGGGCGGCGCGTGAGACTTTGCCTAATCGCTGCATCTCGTTTGGGTGAGTCCGAGTCAAGGGGCTTGGGTCTCTACACTTTGATTTATGCGGTCTGCACTTGTTCTTGAAGGGGGAGCTGCTGCTGCTGTTGTTGCATATTCTATATTGATGCGCGCATCCAATTTAATTGCTTGCTGGATTTTGGATTTCCACACTAAGTTCGTGCTTCCTGCGCCAGCACCAAAATACAAAAATAACATGAACGACATGTAGTTTGATGATTAATGTGACACTCTATATGACATATGCACAGTGGTAAAAAACTAAATGAGGGGCCATTTAATGCAGAAATGCGTTCAGTTATAATAGTCAACAGCTCTGAAATAATTAAAAAGCCGTTTTGATTAATAGCGTAGATCTAATTTTAAATTAAAAACAATTTTATTATTTGTTTGAATGAATGTTTCAAGAAGATCTAGTTACAATTCTTTAAAGTAAAAGATGCCAGCTTCTTCTAGACATTTAATGTGCTCACAAAGCTTTTATGAAACGCTTAAAAACTCTTATTTAGCCTTTAAATATATTTAAAGCTCTTTATTTACGTGATGGAGTATTTGGAGAGATTTGTTTCTTACTTAAGATCATTTATTTAAGTTCACTTGAAGTAGCCAATGTGCTTTAAAAGCGTCTCTGATAAAACTGTTTTCAAAATGAACCGAAACTTTTGTCGATACATTGTAAAAAGACATTTAATGCGAAATTTGTAGATTTCGTGATTCAAAAATCAAACAAATTTTTCGTGAGAATGTTTTTGAGCTTCTTTCCACTGTGCTAAGCAGTCAATGCTTGTTGCTTGGGGGTGAAAAAACGATTTCGACTTGTCGCGAGCGCGTGAATAACATGAATTGCGTTATGAAAAATGCATAACAGACATGTACTGGGAGACTGGGATGCGTGGATATGAGATGGGGGTTTTCGCGGCAATTGGGGCTGTTGCAATCATTACAGAGCTGAGCGATAAGCGACGTTGCATGCGGTGACACAGCTGACGATTGCAATATGATGTGTGTTCGCCTGGTGGCATGTTCAGCATCTTTGCGTGTACTAGTTGTGCATGTGGCTTGTGTGTTGTGGTTGACAAGCACGCGAATTGATGTGCCACTTGGGCGAAATGCTGTTGACTTTGAGGGATTTATGTGGCGCACTGCTGACAGCTGCCAAAAATTAGCTGCCAGTCGAGCCAAAAAGCTGCTCGCTGCCGAGTATCTGTAACTGTATCTTAACTTACCGAGTTTCGAGTTCAGACTTCAGGTCCGGGCGGCATAATTAGCAGTGGGTCGCAAACTTTTGTTTAGCTGCAGCCCAAAACATGAGCTAAGCTGACTTAGCAGCTGTGCTTGCTCTTATTATTGTGGTTGTTGTAAGCCAGCTGCATGCATAAACTAAAACTCAAATTTGCGCACAAAATCCCAAAATGTCAGTGACCAAAAAAAGGGAAACCAGATGAGGTAGGGGCGCCAGTAGACGGCAGCAGGCTGGTTGCCAAGGGACAACCTCAGCCAACAGCAGTAGCAACAACATCAAAACCAACAACAAAAACAACAGCAACACCACCAACAGCTGCAACAAAAGCAGCTATAAAACTGCTTCGCTCGACGCTCATTATTCAAATGTGTTTTGGGGCCTGACTATGCAAAATGGGCGTGGTCCGCCACATACACCCACACAATGCTATACACTTTTGTTGCATGCTTTCATTCTTATTATTATTTTACACATTACATTTACCAAAGTTATTATCTGATCCGCAACGCTGTCAGCCAAGTACATTTTCCATATTACACAACCATTTATTTGTTTCAGATAAATGTACTTCTCTGCTTTTTGGCCTATTTACCGTAAAGGTTCTGTTTGTTGCTTCATTTTTGTCTCAAATTTTTGCTCAGGCTTTTGGGTAATGGGAATTTTTAGTAGGAGAAAACAAGCTACGAATTTGTTTCCCAAATCAACTGGCCGTTAGAAGTTATTTCCCGATTTTTGCCAATTTAAGTGACCTTTTAATGCAAATGAGCACATAAGTATGTAAGTCCATTATATGAAATGCTTTTAATTGGGGTTATTTTTTAAGACTCTAGAAACATTTGTTTAAGCTAACTTCAATAATTTCTCTTACTTTCATTGGTTAATATTATTTTTTATTGTGCATTTGGAATAACATTTCGCTGTGTTATGTGTTAATCTTTAGCTGATTCTGCTTCGAGGCGCGTTCGCTGACAGCACACACCGAGAATGTGACAATTTGGCCATGGCGGACAATGAATATCTGTTGCGGTCGTACAATGCATCAACAATGTGATCAAGGCGATCAAGTAACCGGTACTGAACCTCATCGCAGCTCTTTAAGGCAAATAAACTAAAGCTGAAAGTGGATGGTGTTTTTGTTAGCGTTGAAAATGTCTAAAGAAATAGTGCAGAGTTCGTATGAGGGCGGGCATATACCTTGGGAATCATATTATTTTGACTGGGTTGTTTTATTGCTTTAGAAAATTAAACGCGAAGCTTAAATATTAAAGTTCAAGAGCTGATATAGAGATTGCTTATGGTATTAAAAAACATTCCAATTATAAATCCAAGCTGCATTTATATATATAACAGGGCAGATTCCCGTCGAGGTAACTTCTACCTGGTCATACATTATAAAGCAATACTAATTTAATATGTACGCTATTTACCTGACAAATGTTACGAGTATTATGCAAGGTCCATGAATAGTGAATAGCACAAAGATTTTCAAGCAAACGAATGCATTTTCTCTGCGGACAATTAGCTTACATGACAGCGCTCCCTAAAGACAAGACTGACAATGCTTTGATCTCGAAATGCTCTGTTCGCATGTAATATCGTCGCATATAAATCAAAAGGCGAAGCGTTTGTGAAGAAGCCCTTTTCAAAGCAATTGCGGGCCCAGCGCAAATGCTGACATTCAACTGAGCAGAGCTACACAGAGGACCGCTGCGTCTCCTTGGATTAACTAGGGACACAAGGGGCAAGTGTAAAAAGTGCTTTTACAACGGATTGGAAAGTCAAACGTTTGATCTGCCCCCAGGCGATTGTCACGCATGTTGGCGGACCTGGACGCGCACTCTGAGACTAATTAGCGCCGGAATGAATAAAATGCCAGCCGACTCCTGGGTCTGGGAATGCAGCGCACATGCGTTTAATTAGTTGGTCGAGCTGCGCGGCGGGGTTGAGAATAGCTCGGCAACATGACAGAATTGCGAATGACAACGGAGCACGAATTACACGGTTTGCAGTTTTGTCGCTGCGTTGTCACACGTCCAAGGAGCAAATAGCAAAGAAATCGCTACATTCATTTTGATTGGACTTAATACGCGTTCGTTACACCAGACTCGCAATTCCGTAATTCCGCTCTTGCAGTGGTATTCCAATTCGTGTGCTTGATTTTGTTTGCACGAAAATGTATTTCCCTTTTTGGATTTTTGTTTAGTAACAATATCTCGCTGTCGTCGTCCTCATTCTGGCTTGTTTGCATGGCAGCCAGAGTTTCATTCTGCGGTCTGCGCTCTAATTGCGACTTGACAATATATCAATGCGCACAGCTAGCTCCCTAAATGTATATGCATATGTATATGTATGTGTGCACAAGTACTGAGATACACACGCTTGCATGTTTATATGTATATGTATTAGTAGGTATGCAGGTATCTTTAGGTGGAGCTCTGCTCTAGTCAGCAGCCGTTTTGACATTTGCTTACGCGTTAAAGCTGACAGGTAAAATGGATTTGTTACGGCAATAGAACAAGCAAAAACGCCTTGCTTTCGCTGAGGTCGGGGAAGCTAAAACCCAAGAGGGTTGGGGGCAACATTTTCTGTGGTACGCAAATGGGTGACACGTGAAAAGATAACACCCTGCTGCTGGGAAGTTAGAGTGCTTTTTTATAAAGGAAAAATAGCTTGAATAAAAGTACTGTGGTGTAAGATAATATCTGTTATTACTCGTAGAAATTACTTACTTAAGACGTATTATTATAAATGTATTATTAAGTTTTATTTTATTATTCTTAATACTATGCATTGGCTTTGAACTAAGCCCTGTTTTCATGGAGCTCTGCAATAGAATTCAATTACTTATTACTGAGGTTGAAAATTTTTGATTAATTTAACTAACCTAGAACATTTATCTCTTGTATTAATATATATTTATTTTTATGATGATATTATTATTAAATAATAATTCTCTTTCTCCGCAAAACATCGTTCTATTTAAGTTAATTTCGAATAACTGATGTCCCTATTTCTTAATCGTATTCTTTAATTTAAGTTATAGCTGGGCTTAGTTCTTTTACCTGTTAGGTCAAAGAAATAAAACTCATACGGTAAATAGAAAAAAAAAGAGGAAAAGCTTCAGTCAGAAGTTGATGTGGCACTTGAAAATCGATTTAAAGAGAAATCTCTAGAAGATTGGCCATTTTAGTTGGCAACAAGGCTAAATGGCATTTTATGGGAGAACAAAGCTGAGTGAATCCATTAAAAGGCATTGCAGAACAGAGCCAACAGTAATTATCAATGGCAAAATAATTGAGCGCACACTTATCATGAGCAAAGAGCAATAAAAAATGGAGAGTGGATAATGAAGATAGAGATGGGCGGGGCAGTTGAGGGTGGGTGTTGTCTGTGGCCTCAAAGGAAACGCAGAGCAAGTCCTAATTGCGTCCAAGGCAAATCCGCTCCAAAAGCACTTTAAATGCTAAGCAGATGCCTATAACACTTGCCTTGGCCTGAATGACTTATTCCAGACTTTAAAGTCTTACCAGGCAAATACAATTTTCGAAAATTCTGACTAAATTAATTAGTTAAACAATCCATCAAGGTTATGGCGCGGTCGACTAGACAAAATTAAATTAGGGAAGCGGCCAAAAGTCAAAAGGGCCAAGCGGCTTCAGTTCAGCCAAAAAGGTAAGCGAAAATCTCTTAGGCGGGCCAACAATTCGCTTTAGTAGGCGGTCACACAAAGATACCGAGTATTTGAGGCTAAGGCACAAATGCCCAAAAACACAATTTATACAACAATCTTTTTTCAACTTTTTTGGCATCTGCTTCGTATGGGACTTAAGCTGGAAAATGCTGCCTCCTGCCGGGCAGAACGCAGGCACTTCAAAGGCACTCAATTTGAGGCAAGAAATGTTATTTTAATCAAAATTTCTCCATGCGCACAATTTTCAATACAATGTAAATGTTAAAATAAATTAATGCAGATCGAATTTCAGCAAACTCTTTTGCAACGAGCTGCCTCGGCTAGATTTCAAATTAATCCTTAAAGATTAAATTAAACTTTTCATATTCTCTGTGGGTTGCCTGAAAGTAAGCATATACTTTTAAAAGCACCCAACACCTTTGTCAAGTAATTTAAATATTTTTATTGTCGCACATTTTGAATAGACAAGGGAAACCACTTGGGATCTTAAAATAGCTGAGTCGAATTTGAGTTGTATAAAAATAAAATTGAGTCATAACTTTTGTTTAAATAAAAAATGAATATTATTTGCATAGCCCTTAAAGCAGGTCTTTTTTTTTTGGAAAATTCACTAATACAATCGCAACGCTGTTTGTGCGCACAGACACGGAGCAATTCATTTTTAATGCTGCCCCTTACGACAGCTCAGCGTCGAATTGAGGTTCAGTTCTGGCCCCTGCATTGGCAACAAGCAAACGAGTGCAACTGGCACTGCTAATTGCACTCATTCACACGATGAGCGGCAACAAAGGCGGCCAGAAGTGGCCTCTAACAAAAACAGCAACAACAACAAAACAAGAGTCGAAGAGTCGTCGCCTTGACGGCACGGAAACGGAAGCGTTAGTTGCAAGGATATGTTGCACTAGTGCACAATAGCCGTTCCCCTTCCACTCATCCATTCAGCATACACAATTCACAATTCCCCGCTGCCTTTCGTCCGTCGCCTGTCGCCTGTCGTCCGTCGCCTGTCGTCCGTCGCCCGTCGACCGTTTCGCGGCCTTTGTTGTCTCTGTGTGCACAGCAATTATGTGCCATTGAAGTTTCATTGTCAGCGCTGCAGATTGCAACTGGAGTCCGTCCGGATTCGACTGCTCCGCCTTCTTCTCCGCCTCCATTGACACGCTGTCCGTTTCCGGCGTAATTGTTATGCCAATTTTTAAGAGCGCGCCGTCGCCTGCTTGCCAAATTAAATGAAAATCAAATAAATACGTAAGTGCGGTTGAATTTGCAGCGTTAAATGTTAACAGTCGATTTTGCAACTCAAACACACGCCCATAAAAATATCAACGCGTATTTGCGTGCCCCAGTCTCGGGTGTCAGCTATAGCTCCAGCTACAGCTACCGCGTCCTTGCTCCCTGCCTATCTACGGGCGATGTCGTTTGGCTTAGACTTACGAGCTTGGGGCGCAAATTGACAATTTCTCTGAAATTGCACAAATACTTATGAGCCCGTGCTCCACTTTTTTATGGCAAATTACACAGCCGCATATGAGTGTCTATGTGGGCGGCTGTGCATGTGTGTGTGCATGTATGTTTGTGTGTGTGAGTGTGTATGTCGTCATGTAATAAAAACGTTTGGCAGCCTGCGTTACCAGAGGGTTTTATGATTGGTTTTCAGAAAAGGGGCAAGAAAAAAAGAAAGCAGCACAAAATAAATAAAATATAAACTGCGTTATGTTTATGCGCCAAAGAAAAATCCATCAGACATCATCAGCCAGTGCATAATTAAACATTAGACGGCGATAATAAAATGGAAATGATTGAAGATTATTGCTATCAGCGTTTTTATCTCGACGAAGAAGCTGCCATTAGCAAGGGCTTTACTTTAAAAACAAATTTTTATTCTTATTTTTAAGTTTCAATAAAATTAAAAGCAGTTTGATGACTTTGTTATATCTTTTAATGGATAAAAATGTAATCAATGGGTTGCAAATATCGTGAGCAAATATTTATTGACCTTAAAAAGTTGTAAAAAGAACGATTTTCTCTGGGAAGCACGGGTTCTCTGCTGCAATATAAGTAAACATATTTAAGCAATATGCTTTATCATTAAGTAAGATAATTTAATTGAAATTAGTTGTGCTTCAATTTGTAATCTAGTGAAACAAAACATTTGAGCTTAGCTTATCTTTCTGGCCTTAATTATGATATCGATCATCACATTTCGTATAAACTGCGTTCAACTGACCCTGGCTAGCTAAACAGAATGTGAATGAACCTTATATAATGTGAAGGCAAACTTATAAAGCAATTAAAAAGTTTTCTTTTTTCTTTTTGCCGTGTCATGATTTTGATAATTTTTGTTTGCTCTATGAAAAAAGTTTTAGACCGGGCACATGCCTTGGGCAACAAAAATGAAGTTTTAGCAGCAGGTGCAGGACAAATGGATTAGAACATTAGAACATATACTAAAGCTCATGGTACTTGCCGTAATGATAATCATAATAAGGCGGCGAGCGCCTAAAAGTATGCTTAATTTTGTGCAACTTTAGTGCCTTCAAGTTGCACGAGGCAGCAAAAAGAACAGCAGCAGCAGCAACAACAGCAGCATATAAAGGACAAC